TTACTTCAGCTACTTTAATTACTTCATCTACTTTACTTACTTCAGCTACTTCAGATACTTTAATTACTTCATCTACTTTACTTACTTCAGCTACTTCAGATACTTTAATTACTTCATCTACTTTACTTACTTCAGCTACTTTAATTACTTCATCTACTTTACTTACTTCAGCTACTTCAGCTACTTTAATTACTTCATCTACTTTACTTACTTCAGCTACTTGAACCTTGCAGGTGTCAGAAACTTTAGCTCGTTCAGGACTTTACAGATGTGACCTCTGGTTTCGGCCACTTTAATGCTTTTGAAAACGCTTGTGTTAAAGTTTTACAGACACACTGAAGTCTCTTCAGCTCTCTGCTGTAACACGTCTGGTTCTTTTCTTTCTTTGCATATTTTAGCTGTTAGAGAATATTCTGACCGTTTAAATTTAAGCTACTCGTTTGCAGAGTTTAGCTTTTAACTTCTGTTTAGCTGATTTCAGCTAACACTTCAGTTTCTTCAACAAATTGAATCTTTCAGGCTGTTTTTATACAAAAAGCTTTGAGTTTATTTAAGTTTTCTCTGCAGAGTCAAAAGTTTCATTTCATGTAAAAAAAGAACAAATCTGTTTGTTCTGAAAAGATTTGTCTCTGTGAGCCGTTTGAAGTCTTCTCAGCAGAACAGACTGCACCTCTCCAGACTCTCTTCCACCTGCTACAAACACTAGAATGACTCTAAGTCGGTGTTACACATATTCAGCTAAAGTTTGGCTGATAGTAGCTGAAGGTGGTCTGAGCAGGAGACCCTCCTACCTGCAGCTTCTCGATGATGTTCTTGTAGTCCCAGGGGTTTCCGGGTGCCAGGGGTCTGGAGGAGCGGGTCGTGGACTTGGAGTTTGGGTTTGAGCGGCTCAGAGAGTTGAGGGCGGAGCTGGACAGGACGTTGTTGATCTGAGCCTCCAGCTCCAGAGGCAGAGAGATGGACCGGGTCTTAGCTGGACACAGAGACAGGCTGTCCCTCAGAAACTGACCGAAACAACGATTCTGTTTTAGAATCAACAGGATCTGAACTCAGTCTGAACTCACGTCTCTTTAACATTAAATCTTCTGCTTTTCTTCATGTTTCAAAGGAAATACGGACAAAAATTCTGATGGTTCCATTTAGCTACTTCTGTGCAAAATGTAGCTCCTATCTCACTTGTGTTAGCTTTAGCATGGGTTTTGCTACTTCACTGATACTTCAGCTGATTTTAGCTTTCATCTGTGATTTAACTAACGGTAACGTTTAGATACTGTTTTAATCTTACCTTTAGCTAGTTTTGCTCATTCTAGCTACAATTTAGCTCATTTGAGACACTATTTCAAGGTTTTAGCTTTAGCATGTTTTGTATTTCAGCTATTATTCTGCTAATAATAGCATCTGTTTGGCTACTTTTAGCTTCTGTTCTGCAAATTCGAATCTTTTTTTTTTTTACCATTTTATCTTTTAGCCACCAGTATGTCAGTTATAGGTTGTACATTTGTGCAAATTTTAGCTTTTAGRTACTCTTTAGCATTGTAGCTTTTGGTACCAATTTTCTAATCTTTAGCTAGTTTTTCTCATTCTAGCTAAAATTTAGCTAATTTGAGCCACTATTTCAAGGTTTTAACTTTAGCAATTTTGGTATCTTAGCTATTATTCTGCTAATAATAACATGTTTTGCTACTTTTAACTTCTGTACTGCAAATTTGAATCTTTTATACCATTTCATCTTTTAGCTACTAATATGCCAGTTATGGCTTGTAACTATTTTCATGCTAATTTTAGCTTTTACCTACTCTTTAGCATTGTAGCTTTTGGCACCAATTTGCTAATATTATCTTTAGCTAGTTTTGCTCATTCTAGCTACAAATGATCTAATTTTAGTCACTATTTTCAGATTTTAGCTTTAGCATGTTATGCGTCTTAGCTATTATTCTACTAATAATAAAGTCTGTTTTGCTACTTTTAGCTTCTGTTCTGAAAATTTGAATCTTTTATACCATTTTATCGTTTAGCTACCAACATGCCAGATATAGCTTGTAACTACTTTTGNATGCCAGATATAGCTTGTAACTACTTTTGTGCTAATTTTAGCTTTTAGCTTCTCTTTAGCATTGCAGCTTTTGCTAATATTTTGCTGATCTTAACGTCAATAGTTTATTTTTCTGCTCCTGGATCATCGGGCTGCAGGTACACACAGATTTCTGAGGACCGTTTTGTTTCACAGCAGGTGTTTCTGATCTGACAGAAGTGGGCGGAGCCAGGCATGTTACCTGTCATAGAGAGCGTCTTGATGCAGGCCTCCACCTGTCCTCTGTGCTGCGTCTGCAGCCAGGGACAGTCCAACAGTCTGACGGAGGACTGGAGGAGCTGCGTCACGATGGTGTGATGGGTCTGACATCAGGAGAAACAACAACGTAAACAAACAAACAAKCAGGGTGGGACCAGATGTGGGCGTGGCCTCACCTGCAGGGACGTGCTGTTCTCAGAGAAAGGAGAGCTGAAGAAGGCGGTGATGGTGTCAAACACCACGTTGATGATGTACTTCTCCAGGGTCGGGTCGGAGAGACGCTTCTCTCGTTTGTTACAAACCTGRAGAAGAAGAAAACGCCGCCGTCAGAGGAGGCCGTGAACAAACAACGGTCCAACCAGACGGCTCGGTTCTGACCCGAGCCATGTCCACGGTGAAGTCCTCAAACAGCTTCCAGATGTGGTTGGACGTGTAGATTTCCTTCATCTCCACCTCCGTGTCCACGTAGCAGTGGTTCACGAAGTTCACGTAGGCGATCTTCACCTGCCGACACACAGAGAGAGGCGTGAGTTTGTGGCGGCGCGGCGCGGCGCGGCGCCCTAACCACCGGAGGCGCTCCGAGACGCAGGAACCTCGGTGATGCAGTCCTCGTGCGTCACCACTCGCACCACGTCCTCCAGCGGCAGCAGAGACGTGCACTTYATCTCCGTGTAGACGTTCTTCCCCTCGGCGCAGGCGGCCAGCAGCTCCACCAGAGAGATGTGGTACCTGCACAGAACCGTCGGCACTCCGGGTCAGAGYCGCAGCGCTCGCGGCTGCCCCATCCGTACCGGAGACATTGTTTTTAGCATGTAGCATTTAGCTAAACTGATGACAGAATTTATTGGATTCATAGAAAAGGCAACGTTTGCAACAACTGTGGATTTTTATTCCAGGAAAATAAAACGAAGATAAGAAGAGTTATAGCAGTTATCAAGTTATTATAAATAAATATGTACACATCATAAA